GTTTCACAAGAAAGAAAGTAGAAAATCACCAGCCCAAGGCTGATAACTGTGAGGCAGAAGTCAGACATTCCTCTACCCTATCAGCTTCTTTACTTATTCTGACACTAACCATCACTCCCATGGTGTTCTATTTATCTGATGTGTTTAATAATCTGTTACAATGGTCACATAGAACTCACAGACAATACTCATATTATTGGCTTTACTAGGGAAATGAACAAGGATCAGAAATGACTCGGAATATAGCTGTTCTCTGATCAGGAGTACCTCTTCTCAATTGTACAGCAGATATGCTTCTCTCTGATTCTCAGCCTCTCTACCATGTCTATGGTCTATAGTGGTCTATGGTCTATTGTTGTTGTTGTGTGCCGTGGAGTCGTTCCGACTCATAGCGACCCTGTACAGGGTTTCTGAGGCTGTAAATCTTTACCGGAGCAGAAAGCCTCATCTTTCTGCCGCGGAACAACTGGTAGTTTCGAATTGCTGACCTTGCGGCTCACAGCCCAATTCGTAACCACTACGCTACCAGAGATCCTTATGGCCTATTAGGGCAAGTCTTAAAAAGCACCTATAGTGCTGTTGGTAAATTTGCAAAGGGCACCCCATTCTATAAGTCAGCCTTTTGTCCAAAGACACTCAGCTTCCCTTGGCTCATGGGCTGGGAAGCCCACCATCCACACCATTTCCTCTGCTGCTGCCTCTGCAGGAATCCCACCCAGGACCTTCACACTCTGCTCATGCCTCTTCTTTTTTGATGGTCTTGAAATCCTTTGTTCCTCCTTCTCAGATGACTCATTTTAAACCGGTGATATGGCAAAACCAACAAATACCTGCATTATAGCCCCATCACCCTATGTGCTTGGTTCCGTCCAGTCATTTTGTGGGAGTTACAAGTGCCATGTAAGAAGAGTCATAATTCACTGTACTGCAAATACATTTCTCTTTGTACCAAATAACAAAATTCTTTCTTTCTTTTAAAGGTAATTGGCCAACCAGTTATGCCACCTTACTGGGCTTTGGGATTTCACCTATGTCGTTATGGCTACAGAAATACTTCAGAAGTTCAGCAAGTTTATAATGACATGGTGACTGCCAATATCCCTTATGTATGTATATCTGTATTTAAGAAAATGTTAAGTATGGTACCTATAAAGGCAGAATATAATGATTAAATTATTTTGTACTTTAAAATTATTTTAGGTATTTCATAATAATCAGCATGCTTTTTTAAAAAAAATTTTATTCTGGTTTTTAGCACCAGTTATGAACTGGGTAGGAGGTCATTATAAAATGTCTTCACCATATTTGTTGTTGTTGTTAAGTGCT